AGCTGTTGTTCAGCATCTTAGCTGTAGAGGGCAGTGTCACTGGCCCTCATATGTGGGATCTGAACCGGGGCCCTCTGGCGTCCCAAGCCAGCTCTTAAACCAACGCGCTACTCGGCTGGCCCTGATATTTCTTTTAAAATTGAGCAAGTTTTAAAAGTGAGCAATAAAGTGACCATTAAAGAGACTATACTATGGCATTTTGACTTTTTGTAAGAAGCTACATAATCTGATAGGTTTGATTGTATTCAGCATCTGTACAATTCTTAATTCATTTGCTTCATCCATTCATCTTAAGAAAGTAACTGTACACCAGTTGTTATGCAAGTTATTCTTCTCATTACTTTAATTCACCATTGCAGATAAAATGATTTAATGTTTTTTAAAAATTAAAATCTAAAGATATCCTAAAATTTACTTTTTGTTTTATTTTTACTTATGATAAATATTTGATTTAACTTGTTTTAAAAGTGAAAATATCCCTCATCTTATCAATTTTCACTGAAAACGATAATCAGATGTTTCTTGTGAGACTGATATGACTCCAGAGAAATAGCAAAATAAGAATTAAGACTTTTTTATTATGTTGCTAAAATTACTCAAAAAACTTATCAATGGAGAAAATTGCTTGCAATTTTGAAATTTCAGAACAAGCTGTTTTTGAGGCACATATAGGAGGCAGACGAACATCAAGGCTGTATTATCATTGAGGCTTTGCTTATTGCATCAGAGTAACACATGTATTAATATTTATAATGCACCTTTGGTATAAATTCTAAAATAAATTTTCTTTTTATACACTTTAATAGAGTCTGGTATGAACTAATACTTTTCTCTAAAGATGGTTTATTTCAAAAGGTTATTTCAGTGCATTTATCACTAGAATTTTGCTAGTCTTATAGTTTTTCTTTTTAAAAATTAAACTTACTTGTATATTTAGCTCTGTAATCAAAGTTTTTTTCTATTAAAAACAAAATGTTTTTTATGTAATGTCTCTAATGTGTTCTTTTTGACAGTATGTGCACTAATGTAGTCGTTTATACCTAATATAGGAGTGTATATTTAGTAGAAGAATATCAGAAACCTAGAAACTTCATTACTCAAGCATGAACCTGTTGAATAAAACTTATTAAATTCAGTTACACCTAACTGAACATTCTAAGAGCCTTCAAATTTTTTTCTAGTATTGAGGTATACATTTTTAGATATTATGTGCAAAAACACATCTGTAACCTCTCAGTTCTGGAAAGTACACACATTTGAAAATCATTTTTCTACTTCTTACACAATGAGGCAAGATTTGAGCCAAATGAAATGTAGGCTTTATATTTGAAAAGAATATTGTCATGAAGTAGTAATGTGTGCCAAATATCTGACCATCAGAAGGTGTTAGTTATGAACATCAATTGCTTAAACTAACTCACACTTCTGATTTCACCGTCTACTAAACAAGAAGATAGGTTAGACTACAACTTGAAATTTCATAATTTTTTTTTACTCATAATTTTGTACTTTTTACTTAAATAGATAATAGATAAATACAGGAATTAGATGATCTGTTTTTAACATGCACTAACTTTTATACCAATGAAAGTAGCATTGCTTTCGGCTGTGGTAGTTGAGAAATTGAGATTAGCCAAAGCCTATGTAAAACCTTAAAAACAAAATAGTCAACCATAAACTATAATAGAAGCCATTCAAATTTCAATTATGCAACTATTTATAGCATATTCTATAGCACATTTAAAGCACAGGTTCAGTTACAATTATCAATGTAGGTATTAAATGTTTAATATTTTCTTCTGAGATTGGTTGGCATAGTCATTGTAATTACATTTGACTTGTGATTGGTTTGTAAATTAACTGCTTGATACCAGTGTTGAAATAGTCATGGATATTAGAAGAAAAGGAAAGGAGGTTATTAGCTGGTAGGTAGTTCACATATATTTCTATGAAATGAATGATTTCTTTCTCTGATTCTACTGAATTTAGACTTGTACTAATCCAAAACAGATGTTTCCTAGTGTTTTTGAAGGTAGCTAGTTTTTTAAAAATCTGATCAAAACTAGAGTTTTAACTATATTTGTTATTTTTACATGTGATTTAATATTGCATGGCCTGGAATTACAGAATTTTGGACTTGATATGAATCTTAGGTCTTCTAGTCCACTTAATTTGTAGAGTATTGAAATGGGAATCAGAGAAGTTATGTCCCTTGTCCAAGGATACATATCTCTAGTAGCAGATCAGTTCTATTAATAGAACTAAATTCTGGCTCTAAATTTACAGGGGTTTTTTGCTGCATCTCTGCACAAATGTGAGTTTTTGTCTCGGGATGGCATTATTGGGTGAGACCAAGTAACCATCCAACATAGAGTATGGAAAAATATTCATGATGCCATAGCTACTATCGCCTCCATTAAAAAAAAAAAAGGTGCTGCTCACTCCTCAAACCATTCCAATTTTCCATTTTTCATTTTAGTGGTTCTACCCAAGAGGTAAGAATATGGAAGGCATCTGTATTTTATGGAACCTATCACATATGCTAAAGAAAGTTGCAATATTATGTCCTGGTCAAGTCACTGATAGATGAGGCCAGGATTACTTTTTAGGGAGGATGACCTAGGAAGCTGAGGCCCTGAGAGGGACAATGAGCCGCCTCAGGTTCCTTGTGGTGTGGTAGGCCAATAATATAACAACATGACAATTGTATTTGGATACTTAAGCAAGATTCAGTGAATGACTGAGGTACTGGGATAGTGCCTCTTAATATGCATCTAGAAAATATTTTCAGTCATATTCAGTCTATTCTGAAATCCTTTTATTTATAAATTGGGTGTAATCGGCCAGTTATTTAACTTTTACAAAATCTTTTCTTTGCCAAAAAATGAGAGAATAGGAGTGATAATAGTACAAAACTAGGAGATGATTGTCAGAAGTTGAAAATATTTGATTTGAACATAAGCAAACAGATTTTATCACCAACCTTTTAATTTTTAACAGCTTTATTGAGATATAATTTGCATACCATACAATTAACAACTTACACTGTACAGTTTAGTGGTTTGTACCATATTCAGAAATATGCAACTATCACCAATTTTAGAACATTCTATCATCAGAAAGCAATCCTGTACCCATTAGCTATTAACATTATTCTCCTAGATACCCATTCCCTACTTTCCCCCACCCTCAGCCCTAAGCAGCCACTCATCTATAGATTTCCCTATTCTGCTGGACTTTCATATGAATGGAATCATCATATACGGTGTTTTATGTCTGGCTTCTTTCACTTAGCAGAATGTAAGGTTCACCCATGTTGTAGCATGTNAGCTGTGTTCTCTGGGCTCCCAATTACTGTTAGCTTTGGCCTCTAGAATATTTCTTACTTGCCAACTCATGAAAGCATTTAAAAGTATGTTTTGGAAAATCTGGCATCTGTAGTATGTTTCTAGCAATTGGTTGGTCATTACACTGCTGGAAATGAAAGCCCCTTTTTATTATTTCTCTCCATCACTCGTATTGCCTTTTAATCTTTTTGGTTTTGTTTACAAATGAAATCAATGTTTTATTACATTATAAGAATTATTTTGTGTAGAAAAAGAAAACAAAACTGAGCTAGAAGCCAGTGTTGATCACTGGCTAAGTTGATGGTACCTGTAAACCAGCAAGTGAGGTTCCTTTTTTGCCTCGGGAAAAGTATAGATGATTGTGGGCCTTTAGGATCTCTTGGATCCAGTTAAAGCCTTGAATATGAAATCAGGAAATGCTAAAGATCTATTATGATAATCAAACTATTTATAATGTTGAGAAACTTTTTATGTTTGGAACAATTTTTTAAAAATACCATGTGCCTATCAATAGTTCATTTGATGTTATAAGTGAAATCATAATTGCCTTCAATAGCCCCTAAAAATGTGTTTTAAGCTCCCTGAGGACCTGTAGAATGTCTCTTCACCTTTTTACCTCTTGCAGTATAAAAATCAGTACATTTTATGTGGTAAATGTTCAGTAAATATTTGAGTTTAATTATATATACAATTAGTTTGTTGACTTTTTTCCCATACTATAGTTGAATTTATGGTAGGAATAATCAAATTAAGCAGATTCAATTGTACTAAACTCTTTAAAGTTAAATCAAATGTGACCTCAAAATTTTCTGATACTGTATTCCATAGTAGGACTATTCCACATGGTCTTTTCTAGTGGATATTAAGGAAGTATAGGATTTGGAGCCTTCACTAACATTATATTGAATGTTTTTTGGTTATTTCTTTAAGAAGTGAAACCTGATACTTGTAGTTCCTTTTATTTTTTATTTCTATGTATCCTTATAATAATAGGAAGTTTAAAAAATTATGACGAGTTTTTAAAATCTTGGCATACATTAAAATAGTTAATATTTTTGTTATAATTGGTTTTTAAAATATTAATGAATTTCACTTCTTTCAATTGCTGTAGGATCTTGGCCTCACTACTGTTTGGGAAGACCAACTTTCCTATCTCTTATCACCAGCTTTGGCTTCTTATGAATTTGAGCGTACAACAAGTATATCTGCAGGCAATGAAGAATTTCAAGATGCTATAAGGAGGGCTGTACCTGATGGCCATACGTTTAAAGGGTTTCCAATACATTTTGTGTATAGAAACGCAAGGCGTGCATTTGCCACATGTCTTCGGTAAGGTAGAATTTATGAATTCATAAATGTTTTTGGCTTAGGAATTTTAGAAATCAGTTATTCTGGTAGTTTTTTAGGAATGATTTCAGAATCACATGGGGAATTTTTATGACTTAACCCTCCTTGTCACAGATTGTGATTCATTAAGTCTGAAATGTATATTTAGATAATAATTTGGGATAGTTTTCCCAGTGATTTTGGTTCATTCTTAGTTGAGGATCTCTGATCTTGACTAGTATAATTTTTTAAATTTATAGACTGTGAGGAAATGGTCTGTAATTTGAAAAGCTCAACCAAAATTACAGAACTATTGGTAGCAGAGACAGAATTTTAAAATATTTAAAATATTGATTTACTTGGAAATAAGAAAGTAAAGCCTATGTTTACTTCTTGAATGAATTTTTTTTCTTCTGTAGGTCTCCTTTCTGTGAAGAAATAATCTGTTGCCGTGGAGACCAGGTGCGACTGGCAGTTCGTGTCCGAGTATTTACTTACCCTGAATCTGCATGTGCTGTTTGGATCATGTTTGCTTGTAAATATCGCTCGGTATTATAGGCGTAACATTTCTATAAGAATATACCTATGTTTTATTGGAATTTTACACATTGTATATTACTAGTTGTATAGAGGTTATTTTAAAAATCACAACCTGGCTTGGATGTCACATTTCAATTCTGTATATACCACACTGATAATGTTTGAAAAAAATTGTGTGTATTTAAAAATTAAGGATGAAAAACTTGTATAAATATTTACAAGTGGAATTTAGTATAAATTTAGTGTATATTCTATTTTAATGCTACTTTGTTTACAGGTATTCGGTAGTTTAAATATGAATATAAATTTTACTCAGTTTTCTTTATATTAATAGGTAGTCATAAAGATATTTGAGGGTTTGAGCCATAGTAAAATCAATATCATTATTTTTCATTGATTAATGGGAGGATTATTTTATATAAACTCAGAGAAATTAACCTCACAACAGATTTATTTATTACATAGGTGAAAAGACCTTTTGATGAGTTAACACTTTTGTGGTTTACCCATGGCCATAGGGATATTTGTGACTTTCCAGAGATTTATGGGAAGACTTTGATGCAAGAGTAGGAAAAACTAGTACTGGAAAAGCATAAATATTAATAACAACAAACCTCATATGAAAGTACATGAATAATTTATAAATATTTGTTAGTTTTATTCATTATAAAAATGAATTACGTATTTTAGGAAACAACTTATACCCTTTTGTTGTTATACTGATAAATTCTTTATAATTAATATTGGTAGTCTGTTGCTGATTTTTGGTGATCAAAGGATTCGTTCTAGTTTCTTCATGGATTCCATCTTCTGAAACCACATTTTTTTCTTTCTTTTTTTATTTCATTGTGATAAAAACATCAGCGTATATGTGACTAATCCAAATCAGAGAATCATTGTGTGAGGCCACTGAAAACAAGCATATCTGAGTGACTCCATGCTGATATATATATAT